CTGCTGGACCACAGGCGTCCAGAGCAAAGCCGCAGAGCACGGGGTCTGCTGCCCGCGTGTTCCGCTGCTTCGCTCCCCGTCCCCCTGGTCTGCAGACCAGAAGGACGTGGAGCAAAGCGGCGGAACACGCGGGCAGCAGACAGCCCAGACACGCGTCTGGGCTGTCCGCTGCCCACGTGCTCCGCCGCTTTGCTTCCTCTCCCTGGTCTGCTGGAGACCAGGGAGAGGGCCCCGTTCGTAACTGTGGATCCGGCATAAGTCGGATCCGCGTAACTCGGGGACTGCTTGTACCCCGAAACACAATATTGGTTGGCCTATCAATTGTGTTTGAACTTTAAACTGATGCTGCGTGCAAGAGAAAAAAAATGCTAAGTGTACATTCACCCTGACTGAACCCAATGTCCAGTACAGGAAGCAAAGCCGCTGTCCTCTGACCATAAGCTGACAGCGTGCCTTCACTGTCACAGCCCTCAGCTGGGACGGCTTCCAGTACTTCATACAACGTGCAGAGGAGATGCCTTAAGTCTTATCTTCTCCACATCTCTGAAAGTGACTTGTTGCGGATCTGTGGCCTGTTGGGTCTCCTCTCTGGCCAGACTATTTACAACACAGTCAAATAAAGTCTAACATTAATCAGTTGGAAGCCTCCTGGCTTTACATTTTGGAGATGCCATTTCCACCAGATACGGAACTAACGCCACATGCTGACCAAAGCTAAGCTGCACCATTGTGCTCCAAAAATGGCCATGTTTCACCCCGGGAGAGGCAGCCTACAAGAGATAAAGTGGGTCCCTCAGTGTATGTCCCTTAGCTATTTCAGAGGGCATCTATGTGACTTAGACACAAGACATCCAGATGATACAAACGTGAACAATTTCATGGTGCAAAGGCGCTGGGCTAACAGCCCTCTGAAAGCTGAAATGCTCTGCATTCAAAGCAAAGGTCCAACACGGACCAGAGGGAAGGCAGATCTCTGATCTCCGCCAGCGAGGTTCATCTCTGATCTGTAGGAAACCCTTCTGTGGGGAGAGCAGTGCAGTCTGCATAAGTCTCCAATAAACCTGCTGGCAAAGGGGCAACTCCAGGGGAGGGTGTATTGTGTGGTTAGCTAGTGGCACAAAATAGCAACTTGCTTCAAAACTGACCGTTGAAAAGACGTGGTGGACATCTCTCCATCGCAACAAAATTGGGAGGCAGACCAATAACCTTGAGGTCCAAGATTTATTTGGACTAGCTACCCAGGTCTACATGTAATGCAACTTTTCATTACTTGTATGCATGTTTTTCGAGAAGTATTTTTAACTGTTGCTATTAAGCGTCTTAGAAGAATGGGAAACAAGTATCCCAAATGGCTGGAAAACTGTTCCGAGAATACAAGTAGCAGGGGTTCACAGTCAGGCTGGAAGGGCA